CTCATAAGCCAAAAATTCAATTATTATACGTCTAGCTTCCAAGTTCAGTTACCCCTATTTGCACAGCCCTCGTTAGTCTTTTCAAAAAGTCCCTAAAGGTTCACTCTGACCCTGTTTAACCCTAATATATGATTCAACTCTATTTCTTAGTTCCTGAATCCTGTCCTAAGCCTTTAAAGCTGCTGTGGTGCATAGGGACAAGGTGTGGTCATCATAAAGAGCTTGATTCTGAGAATCAGAGTAAAGTTCTTCACCTAGAATTTGATCTAGGGAAATCTCAAGTCCTTTTGTTGCTCTAAAAGTCTCACTTCCTCTTTTAAAAAAGCACCTCCAAAGCAATTGCAATTCACTTTCTAGGACTGCTGAGATTAACTGAGCACAATCTTGAGACGTGGCTACTGAAAGTCCATGTTTTGACCATTTCCCTAACAAATGACAAATATAGTCTGTAAGCTACAATTGCTTGTTTAATTTCTTTTAGATCAGTCATAAATATTGGCTCCAATGTATATTCCTTGACAACCTTAGGGTACTTGGAGCCAGATACTTTTTCTGACGTTATTACTGGAAAAGCAGGCAGAACTCTGGGGAAGCTATCCCAGAGATTTTTATGTACCAACGAGGTTAAATTTTGCCTTTTTGCCTTTTGTTCCTGGTCATCAAATTTGATAATTTCCTTGATCTTTTAAAACCTGGCTACCACTGTCTTTTGTAATGACTGGACCTCCTGTCCAGTGTTCTGCTCTAATGATGATTCCAAGGTATGAAGTCTGTCCAATAGAGATAATGTCTCATCCTTGGACATAATCTTTATAGCATGCATATTACCTTTCTTTAGAGACATTCTATCAATCAATCTGTCGTACCTCTTTGACAGAGTCCAATTAATACACTCAACAGCGTGAATTCTCTCAAATAATGTTTCAGCACCCACTGTCATTGATTGGGTTTTATGTGCCAAATCATCTGTTTCCTTCTCCAGAGTGCTTAATCTTCCATTAAATGAAGTTGTATCCTTCTTCAGATTTCCAAACTCTTTCTTGAAAAACATGGTTTCTCTTAGTCCATGCTATTATTTTAGTCCAAACTAGAGCGCATATCATCATGGGCTGTTCCAGCGGGCCCCTGTGAGGATAGAACATGAGGTCAGCCAGCATGAGCAGCCCTTCCACGACAGGTGGCCACCAGAAGAATGCTGCTTTGCCTCTCTCAAATCTTAAGAAAAACAAAAGTGGTGGACGCTGTGGGAAATACACTAAGGAAAGTATAGAGAGGAATGGGGAGTACGAGCAGGTATGAGAAACAATGGTCTTCACTTCACAATAAGAGTGCCAGAGACTCAGAGTAGTAAAAGCAAAGCAGCTTGTTTTCTGACCTTGCAAAATCAGGAGTCAGTTTAGAGAAAAGTCAAAAAATGGAATCTGATGCAGAACAGTGGATTGTTTTTGTTGTTGTTCTTTGCTTTGCTTTGCTCTCTTGCTTCCAATTGTATTTCCCTGCCCCCCTGAATTTCTCATTGTCAGAGTTCTTCAGGGAAGAACAGTCTTTCTACTCAATAAGCACAGTCCCCACTCCAAACCCTCCATCCCCCTGAGACTCAAGATCATCCCAACTCCTGACTGATTAACTCAATCACATATTTCAACCCTAAGATAAACTGAAAAGTACCCAGGCAAGCGGACTCCAGAGACTGGCCAGAGAAGGTGGTAGTCTGGTGCCTTCTGCTTACCTGTGACTCCTTGAGGAGTTTCAAATGAACTTCATGCTGACAATAGACTGATATGATTTATTTCTTATACAGGTCAAAGGAGAAGGTAATGGGTAGAACAGTAAAGCATGATTGATATAAATTCAGAAACAGACATTGGGGTTCAACCTGAGGATCTGAAAAGCAAAGCAACCAACCTCAACCTTAGCTCGATCTCAGTCTGAAATGGCAAGGTTGCTTCCAGGAATCTCAGAAAAAGACTGTGTGTGAGCACTGTCTCTTCCCATTTTATAATTCTCTCTAGGGCTGGGATTAAAGGTATACACTGCCCGGTTTCTATGGCAAACTAGTGTGGCTACTGGGGTTAAGGGTGTGTGTTATTACTGCCTGGTCTGTAAGGCTGGCCAGTGAGGCTGTTGTACTCTCTGATCTTCAGGTCAGCTTTATTCATTAAAGTACAAATACCACTACATTTCGAGAATTTATAGTGGCAGTAAAAGTGATCAGACTCAAGATGTCTTTCAAACATAACGGAAAACTTACTGGTGGGGTAGGAGTGAAGTAGAGAAAAGGATTTATCTTACTTGAGCATGAGATGAATGATGAGACTATTTTATTGATATGAGAATATTGGAAGAGTTATTAGGGAAGATCACATATTCTCTCTTCCATTGGAATCTGTAAGTGAAGACAAAAGTAGTTGGTGTGTGAGGTCAGAGACTAGAGGATGAAGGTGACCTGAGGATCATCAGCATACACATAGAGATACATAAAATGAAGGAGAAATTTCAATAAATACATGCAGCTCTAGAGACCAAACTTTGTGCCTTCCTTCCCCTTTTAGAAGTCAGAAATATTGAGAAGATTTACCCGAAAGGACTGGGGCTAAGAAAACTAGTGGGAAGTAGGAAGAGTTAGCTGTCGCAGAAGCCAAGGAAGAAGGAAAAAGTGGTCGCCCATGTCAAAGACTGTCTTTCCCTAAGCACACGAAGAAGACAGTGCCTTCTTGGAGCTGTGGATTTGAGCAGGACAACCTGTGTAACTGTGAGAAGAGAGCATTGGGGTTATAGTCTTGTCTCTCTGTTGTGGGGGGAGAGCTGAAATATCCCAGATGTTGAGACCACTGCTCCGCTGCCACAAAAAAACAAAACTGAAGACACAATGTCTCCACAAGGTTGAACTGAAGTACAAACTATGGGATCTGTTGCCAATAAGCAATCCAAGGTGACATCCTTCATCAGCCATAGTGAATTGCTCAGAGGGAACAATACAGAGATGGTCTCACAATCAGCAAAGAGAGCCTTGTGCCAAGTTCAAATAATTCCCACAGACTGATGCATCCAAACACTTGGTCCCAGGTGACAGCGCTGTTCTTGGACTTGTTAATCCTTTAGAATGTGGGACCTAGTTAAAGAAATGAGTCACTGGGTCTGGGCATGCAGAGGTGGTCGTTTGTGGTCCATATTAATCCTGCTACCTACCTGAACTTTTTGATTTCTGATCTACCAAAACGCAAGGAGTCCCATCCATAGTCTCCCACAGATATGAGCTCTGCTATACTTCCTCCACAAAGATGAACTATACTTCTGAAATTGCAAGCCAAAAAGCCTCCTCTCTTTAAAAAAGAAGAGAGAATGATGTAATTATGTTATAATCTCAAAGTTAAAAGTAAAAAAATTGTCATCAAAGACACCCCAGATTACTGGCTTTCAGGTTCTTTGTCTTGTGAACTTAAAGAATGAATGTCACACACTACAGGGAGGTGAATCTTAGAAAGCAGCTTAAGGCATTCTTGCAGGCCAGAACTTAAGAGGAAGGAAGAAAGGTCAGCCCTGGTGACAGGTTTCTTTCAAGAGCCCCATCTAGAAGTTAATCAAGCTTTACACAGTTGAGACATGGGAGGTTGGATGGCGGTCCTATTGTCTCACCCACAAGCGATCCATGTCTCCCCATTCCCATGTCTTGACTGTAATCTTGGTCACATGCTCATACATATGATTCATGCAGGCATGACTATTAAGTTCTTATGTAAAGAGAGAAGAAATAAAACCAGAAACCATAATACCTCTAAACATTGTTGTTATTTCTGGCTCTTGGCCAGGACTAAATGGCCTTTAGACCAAAGGACGTTTTCAGCTTCTGACCAAGAAAGAACAGGTTATTCTAGTTATTCTAGTAACTTAGGTAGCCCCTACTTAGGATAATACATTATTAAATGAAAAAAATCATCTTAATGAACCGCTGGCATTCACTGTTAGACATAGTTGCACACACCCTGCGCTCATGTGCATATACCCACACACAGATGCACACATATGCACATAGTTAAAAATAATAAAATATCAAAACTAAAGAAAACTAAAAATTTGAAGAATTGTTAAGGTTTACGAAAGGAGTCGGAAAGAGTAAGATTTATTTTTCTCTGTCAATAGTCCTAATTTGACAGCTGCCAGGAGGACTTTAAAATTTTTTTGAAGGACTTGCGTGACAACCTTCCATGCGGAATAGTGAGGGTTCATCTCTCCATAGTTCCCCTTTGGAGACACAGTTATGCTGTGGGAGCACATTCCACTCTTTCTGCCAATAGCATTTAAGATACCTGCCCTCTTGGGTGTGGTCTCTTCTTCTGTAAATGCAGCTGTAAAGCCTGAGCTTTCTCTCTCTTTTGCTTCTGGCTCTTGCTTCCAGCTGCTAGACTCTGTTCCTGCTCCCCATTTGTGCAGAGAGCTGTTTCTAGGACAGTGATCTGTAAGTTTTCCTTAAATAAATAACCCTTTATTATTCATAATTCTAAACTAGTTTGGGATTATTTTATGACTTCTACCTTCATCTGGTATTCCACGTTAGGTACCAAATTGTTGGAGGAGAGAGCCACTTGTTGGTTCCTGCTGCCCAGTTTCCAGTCTCCCAGCTAGCTTAGTCCCAAAATAATCACACAGAAACTGTATTAATTAAATCATTGTTTGACCCTTTAACTCTAGCTTTTTCTTGCTAACTCTTACATCTTAATTTAACCCATCTCCATTAATCTGTGCAACACCATGAGGTCATGACCTACCAACCAAGTTTCAGCACATCTATCTCTGGTGGCAGCTCCATAGCATCCCTCTGACTCCACCCTTCTTTCTACCAGCATTCAACCTAGCTTTCCCTGCCTACCTAAGTTCTGCCTTACTATAGGTCCAAAGCAATTTCTTTATTCATTAATGGTAATCACAGCACACAGAGGTAACTCCCACATCACAGCTATGACTCTTTGGGATTCAGTTGATTAAGAGCAAGCATGGCAACATTACAGGAAGAATCTTTATTTCATGAAATTAAAACGTTAATGCAATTAATGGAGTTGTTCACAAATATTGTCTCTTTTTAATTAGAGGCATAAATTGGCTAATTAGAGGCACTCATGTTTTCAAGCAGAGATAATAAGACCCTCTCCATCCTTATTTTCTCATTCTCTTTCCAGCATCTTACTCTTTGTGTCTTCTCATCCATTTGGAGTAGAAATCTAAGTAAATACCAAGGTAGAGAAAGTGTTACAGAAGAGTCATTGTTAGTATCCTCAATGCTGACCAGACCTTGTGCTGAGCTCTATGACTACAGAGGTCAATCTAGAGCCTATTTCTCAGAGAACTTGCACTCTATTTGGAACAGCGGATATCTATATAATTTTGTAATTGCTGTGTGATCAGTTAGGATACATAGAATTGCATAATGTGATAGGGAAGGGAATACAAAGCATCGGAATTTCAAGTTATGGTGGGTACAGGCATAAGGAAGAGGATCTGTTGTCAGGCATCTCCCTCCTCTCCACTTCTCAGCCTTCATCTTCATTTTCTCAGCCTTGACCGGCGCTTCAAGGAGTCGTTAGCTGATGCTGTCAAAAGAACAGAGCAGTACCATTAACAAAGGCAGAGTCTCAAAGAGGCTATCAACAGATTGACTCTTCTTAAGGCAATTCAGGTTTGGGCTAAAAAGGGTAGCTAGTGTCACAGAGGAGCATGCCATTCCTCACACTCCTGCAAAAACAAGACAAGCACAAGCAGGAAGAAGCACATGTTGCAGCCCACATCAGGAACAGGTAAATGGGTCCCAGCCACCCCAGTGAAGTACAGCTGATGGTTCTACAAAAGACACAAGTGCTTTAGAGAGGACCAGTTTACCAGTTTCCTTAAGAAACAAGTCTTCTAAGGAGTCATTTGCAGTCCGCAACATCTGATTGAGTGCAGCAAAGATCAGAACATCCTTCAGAGGGTCCAATGATCGTTCCAAAGCATAATTACTAACCATCAAGATGTTAGCTATAGGAATATTTAGCATGTCTTGGACATTCTTTACCTGTGAAAAATATATTTCAAATGCATTTTAAGTAAAAAACATATTTGTGAAACACATATATGTCTATACACAAAACATATTTGTATATATATGAAGAATACCAAGCTAGAAATCTGACTTAATATTAATACAATTAAGGACAGGAACTTAAAAGCTAATGGCTTGGTAAATCCTCTTCAGAATGCAATTATATTTATGCAAATTATTGATAGTTATGGATGTAAAATTAAATATAAACTACAACAAACTGAGCAATCAATCCAGTTATTTGTATAAATGAGGACTGAACTCGATGGCTCCCACGCTCTTGGCGATTCTCTCTCCTTGTGCTATATCTACAGCCCCTTTTTACTTTGCATTTTGAAACATGGTCTTGAATTCATTCGGTAGCACAAACAGGACTTGAACTTGGAACCTTCTGCTGTCAGCTTCCTGAGTGCCTAACATTATAGGCCTGAAGAAATGTACCCACCTTAGCTTAATTCTCAATTTATTTGTGACTAAACACACACACACACACAAGCACATGCACACATTCGCCTGCTCACACACACTCATGTCAACACATATGCGCACGTGCGCACACAGTGGTAATGGGAGAGCGAGACAAAGAAAGGGAAACTGAGTGAGCACGGCTGTGCTTCTCTCTCTAGATCACCTGATTATGAACATCACTCTTTACCTGGCTTCGAGAAGTCATACTTTCTGTCATGTTTAAAAAATTGTCATCAAGAACTTCATCACAGTTATTCACATTAGTAAGCAAGGCTACTTCTCTTACACCTGTATCAAACAGACATCATTATAAGAGGACTATGTCAAGACACTTTTTAAATGTGCATATGAACATTGCTTTCTGCAGATTGGAGCATTGGGCATGAAACATTCACAGTAAATCTGAGTCTGATCTTCTTTCAAAGGTCATTTCTTTTCCAAAGGAAAGCTTACTTTGAGATACACCTAACCTCACAGTAAGTTTGAAAACTTAGTAGGCTTCAATGTGGGAAACATGGCTACTGCACCACTGAACTACAGAGAAACACCAAAAAAGAGACTAGTGAAGATGGGTGTATACCAACAGGCTACCCTGACCTCAGAGTTCAGCTGAGATCTTGTTACATTGTCCAGCAAGCATGCACAACTGTTATCTTCAAAATTAACACTATTCCCTCTTCCTCCCCACTCTCTCTTTGAGATTATAACTTGATTACATGTTTTCTCCCTGGAAACCCTTTCATGCACCCCTCCCTGTTCTCCTTCAAATTCATAGCCTCATTTTTTTTCTGTTATTGAATGCATTTATGTACATGCATATATTCCTAAATATCACCTCTTCAGTCCATATGAAGCTACCTGTGTGTATCTTGTTGGTTCTAACCCTTTGGAAATGGAAAACCAATGGGTATATTCTTCCCTGAGGAGGGCTTTTCAGTTTCATTAAACATCACTTCATGACATGGTGGTGTAATGCCATATGTCCTTAGAAACTAACTTCAAATTCTAATACTTCTCTAATTCAGTCGTATCCTAAACCCACCACTGTTTTAGAGATGTTTCCATATACAGTTACCTTAAATGTATATAATGTGCATTAGATGTGCAGAAGAATAAATAGGCAGTCTACAGTAAAAGACCTAATTGTCATGCCATAAGAGTCCCTGGAGGAAAGAGAGAGGGTAGCACCAAACTTAATGATAATAAAAAACCAAACAAAAGTGTAGACACTAACATGGAGAAACCATTTGGAAACCATATGTCTGACAGTGACTCGGTTCTCAGATTTAGGGATGTGATTGTTTGAATAAAAATGGTCCCTATGGGTTCATAGATTTGAATGCTTGGTCACTAGGGAATGGCGCTGTTTGGAAGGATTAGGAGGTGTGGCCTTGTTGAAGGAAATATGTCTGTGGAGATAAGCTTTGAGGTTTCAAGAGTCCAAGTCAGGCCCAGAGTCTCTTTCTTCCTGCTGCCTGAGGATCCAGATGTAGAAATCTCAGCTACTTCTCCAGCACCCTGTTTACCTGTCTGCTGCCATGTTCCTTGCCTTGATGACATTAGACTGAACCTCTGAAACTGTAAGCCACCCCAATTAAATGTTTTTCTCTATAAAAATTGCCATGCTCCTGATATCTTTTCACAGCAATAGAACACTGACTAAGATAAGGGATCTCCTAAAATTCAACATGAAAGAAAACACACATATAAAATCAATCAAAAATGAGTAAAAGACATGAAATAAAATATTTCACTGGAGATATATAGAAGACTAGTGATTGTGTAACAAGGCATTTGATTTTATGGATCACTAGGTAAAGCAAGTTAAGGCCATGATGACATGTTTCTACATATCTATTACAGAAGCTACTTTTTAATAGTGACAACCATGATACTAAATATTAGAAAGAATGCAGAAAACTTGGATTGGCCATAGAGTGCCAATTGGAATGTAGCACAGTATCAATTCTCTGAATATGAGTTTTGTGATTTTTTAAAAATTAACATATACTTCTTTTATGATATAGCAGTGTTATCCCTGGGAGACTAACCCCACACACGCAAAACGGAAGCACTAATATTCAGAAGCATTTTATTTATCAAATCTAAAAGTAAGCAATGGTTAAACACATTCTGGGACAACTATACTAGAGAATATTACTCAACAGTCATAAAACCAACAATCAACGTAAAATGTATGACATGGATTTGAAAGGATGTTAGGCCAAGTTAATACAGTCATTCTCAAAAGATAGCATAATGGATGATTCTATTTGCATAATATTCTCAAATGAAGACTCATAACCACAAAGAAGTAGTCACAAATAGTTGAGGATATCTTTGTTTTCTTTGTAGTGATGAGATAGTTCTGTATCCTGGGTTGTAGACAGAATTTCATGAATTTCCATGTATGATAAAATAGTGCAACAGTGTCCGCACCCTGGTTTTGATCCTGCTAGCTAATTCCTGTGAGAAGGTGACTCTCTTTAAAAATGGCAAGAGGATTGTACAACAGGAAACTAGAGGCTGCCTAGCCCTTCTGCTCTGAAGGCTAACATGGAAGATGTCTCTAAGGTGGTCCCTTCTGCACTGACCACCAACTTGGAGCTCAGGACATTTACCAAAGTGGCTCTCTTCACTACTCCTTTTGTGACTTCCTGTGAAATTGTAATTATTTCGAGGTTTTACAAAGAGACTTACCACAGTGTACTGCATCTCTGTGAATTTTTTTGAGCTTTGCCACCATTTGATCAGACAGCATGTTAACTGAGTTGATGTTCAAGACATAAGCCACACAGTGAATCCTGTCCTTTAGTGGTGGAGAGGTGCAGTAAGTGGAGAGCCTCACCTCTTTTGGCTTACACGGGTTGAACTGCACAGAAACACAAGTGGACATTCACTTTTCAGAGACTTTGCTTGGTTCCCACAGCAGAAATCACAGCCACTCACCCTTCTTTCCCCAGTGTCTTCCTCCGTGTCTTATTTATATCTTCCTGCTTCTCACTACAGCTTTCTTAAAGACAAATAGCTTTATTGTTTTGATAAAAATGATGAACCACTGAAACTATTAGAGGAAAATGCAAAGAATACTTTTAAAATCTGACTTAAATCTCCAATCTCCCAAAGCAAATAGCATTACAATTTGCTACGTGTCATTTAAGATTCCTCCTTGAGAATTTTGTATGCTTAAAAGGACTAATGGATGGGAAGAGGCAGACAGAGAAAAGAGAATGAAGTGACATTTAAACTCAAAGACTATGATTTCTTAATTTTTTTCAAGGCAAAATAAGATGAAATACCAGCTTCCAAGTCAGCTTCTCCTCACCCCAAAAAGACAATGATCTTTCTGCTACTGAAAGAAGAGATGGTTGCAAAACATAGCAAACATTTGTAAGTGTGTACATGTGTGCATGTGTGTGAGCATGCATGCACGGGAGCACGCACATGTGTTTAATGTTGAACTGAGTTGACTGGTTTCCTGCTATGAAATAATAGAGTCTTAGTGATACGATTTTCTCTCTTACTGCTCTCTTCCTTCCTGTAATGTTGTAATTCTTTTCCCAACTAGACTGTAAGACTCTTGAAAATATTGCCTGCCCTCTTAATTAACTGTGAATTTTTTCAGTTATTCTCTTTGTGTCTAGAACAGATTATATTTTAATAAATAATTTCAAATGAACAAATGAACACAGCCAATCTTTTCAATCAAGTTCAACTGAAAGAAAAGAAAAGTGTTTAGAAACTGAAAGCCATTCGTTATATTCCATACCTAAAAGAACTGTGCTAAGTGCTCTTTGAGCACTTAGCGTAGCTCACACACCTAATATTCTCAGGCGTTCTAGAAGACAGCATTAATTCTTACATTTCATATATTTAAAAAAGAAGGTTGTGTGTGGAGGGCCGGACCACATTCTCCATTGCTTCTAGGAACAAAGGTAGAGATTGACCTCTGTGACCCCAAGGTGTGGCGGCACACGCCTTTAATCTCAGCGCACGTGCTTTGTAACTCTCTACCGCTGCGTCCCTGCCTACTCCCGAGGTTTCACCTGGGACTGGGAGCAGTCAGCCAATCCGGGAATGACACGTCCAGGGCAGGGTCTGTTTCCTTTATAAGGGATGGGTTCCATCTTATCTGGGTCCCCACGGCCGTGTTGGCTTATGCTCTGCTCCCAAGAGACATAAAGCTATTCTGCAGAAGGATCCTAGTGTTCCGTGTGGTTCTTGCTGGCGAGACGGTAGCGCGGGACAGTTGTGTAACTTCCTTCACAGGTACACATCTCTGGTTCCTGGCATGTAATAGCCTTGCCTCGCTCTTGCGGAACACATCAACAGACAATAGTCAATTATTCTTATATCTAATATGCATAATTAAACTTGTACAAAATTAAACTACTGCTGGTTTAAGAAATGGCGTCTTCACTCACAGTTTACATTACCGAAAGAATCTTACAAACAGAACAGTCTTTGAACATCTCCTGGAGTTCAGATAAGTCAAGTTCCTGCCATTTAGTTTTATTTCTCAAAGGCACAGACTAAAAGGACCATCTCTTTACCTTTCTCTCATAATATTATTCATTCAAAGTAGAGTAGCACTTTGCTGAGATCATATCAGGGCAGTTCAAATGATCTTGTAGCGTAAAGACGCAATGAAGTCCTGGGGTGAAAGAAATCTTACCTGATACCTGTCTGGTACATAGCCGTTTAAGATATGAGGTATATCATCTATACACAATCCTGCTCCTTTTCTCTCATCCAGCCCCATTGAATCACACAACAAAAATGGGAGCATTTTCCCACCTTCTCCATCTTTAACAGTATATACTCTATACTGTAAAAGAAAATATTGAGTTAAAGTATATTTGCTAGCATCCAAGACAAAAGAAAAAAGAGAGATTAGCTAATATTTTAATACAGTGGCCTGGAATTGGCAAGATCCTCCTACCTTGGTCCCCCAAGGGCTGGGATTACAAGCATACACCACCACATCAAGACTGAAAAAAACTAATTCCTTCAGTATTCAAAGCTGCTGCGTTGTCATAGCTCTTCCATATGTGGTACAGATGATCTGATGCTACACTCTACTAGAAAGTACAGAACCTATCTGTGATATCACAGCAGTTTGCTCACTGAAGTATTTCAACTAATGCTTAATAGATTAAATTCTTATTGTAGCTTCTTGTCTTGACTTCTCAGACTAGGCTGATAGGTTGAAATAAATTTACATAAGAAACAAGATGCAATTCATGAAAAGTCTTAGAAACATGTTGAGCTATTGAATGTAGAACCAATGATACACTGATTTGTAGTCTTAAAATAAATTTGCAACAAGGATAAAAAGGTATTTTTTATATAACTAATTCTTGGATCTGTAAAAATGAAATGCTTCTCTGAATGATATTATTGAATAGAGAAAATTCTGAAGCAATGTTTGCTTCTATTTTACTTACATATTTAGTATGTAATTGCATATTAGGAAAAAGGCTATGGATGAGAGAAAATTACAAAGACGTGAACACTTGTATTCATGTAACCTGTAAAGTTCCAATCTTTTCGCAGATCTTCAGGTAACTTACCTGTTTGGTAACGCTGTCTTCGTCAGACCCCACAATGGCCTGGCGAGTTAAGTGACCCTGGAAAGCAGACTTCACTGAATTGAAAAAGCTCGACTTTCCAGAACCTACTGGGCCCACCAAGAGGATACGAACTTCTGGAACCAAGTCTTCATGGGGCCTGTAGGCTCTGAGAGCAGAGAGGAGCTTTTTCCGGTACCTGTTTAGAACACAGGGATTAAATATAACAGCAGATATTCCTCAAAGCAGTGTAACTACCCTAGACCCTGTTTCTTCCATTATAGGGACAGGTTTGCCTACATGTTTATTTCAATAGTAACTTTATAATATATTAAGTGCAGCACCCCAAACATAAACAACCTGGGTTAAATATTTTGCACTTAGATAAACCGCATTTATGTATCAGAGTAAAATCTTTTTTTTTTTTTTTGGTTTTTGGTTTTTCAAGATAGTGTTTCACTGTGCAGCCCTGACTGTGCTAGGAATCACTCTGTAGGCCAGGCTGACCTCGCACTCACAAAGATTCGCCTGTCTCTGCTTCCGAAGTGATGGGATTAAAGGCGTGCACCACTGCTGCCCAGCATGAGATCTTAAGCTGTAACAAGTCATTATTAACCTTGGAACATAAATATTTGGGAGATGCTAACACTGAAAGTAAGTGATTATTTGTAATAAAATATATTAAGGGAAAATAAAAATATATTCATATCTGTAAGTTGGGAAAGGGAGATTTTGTTCTGATAGTAACTGGAATATTGTCTGTTAATAGCAATTTTTATCATTCCAGGTTATATGATTTTTTTTATCTTTTTTACTAGTTCATTGTCACTCTTACCACAATTAATCTAAATGAAATGAATAACAGATAGGTCAAGAACCTAACTTACTGTTTGACAGTTACCATCTTCTTTATGAACTCTGGATCCCTCTTAATGCCTAGAGGAAATAAGCACAGGATATAGTAAGATCCCTGACTTTTTGGTTCTCTGAAGCCAAGACTGTCTCCTACACAAGGCTGGTCCATTTGTATAACCCTGACCTTCTCAATTAAGAGTTCAAGGTGGCAACATCCTGAGAGAAAGAGTAGAACAAATGACTCTCTTTTCAATTGTAAAGTCAAAGTTTCTCTCTGCTGCTACCCTCCTTTCTTCTCTCCCACCCCTCCTCTCCTCTCTCCAGTCCCTACCTTTATCTGCATCTCTGTCTCTTATAGGAGAAAGAGACATTTGTATTTTAATAAATAAAGCTTGCCTTAAGTTCAGAGAGTAAGACAGCTGTACTGGTCAGCTTTACAGACCAGGCAGTGGTAGCACACACCTTTAATCCCAGTACCACGTTAGTTTGCCATAGAAATCAGGCAGTAATGGTGCATACCCCTAACCCCAGAACTAGAGAGAATTATAAAACAGAGGATACAGCTCTCAGATGCAGTCTCATTCTGAGATTCCTGGAGGCAGGCTCAACATTTTGAACTGACATAGAGGTAAGAGCCAGTGACTGGCTGTTTTGCTTTTCTGACCTCCACACTGAACCACAATTTCTGACTCTGGGCTTTAATTAATCGTGCTACAGATAGTTTATCTTGTCCTCATTTTATTGACCATGAACTGTATAGTTTATTTTGTCCTCATTTTATTGACCATGACCTGGGGAACACAGATGTATGTTACTCCAAATTCCATGTTCCAACTTTGAAGCAGTTTTACAACACTTTCATAGTTTTGCAGAACAAAGATAGTCATAAATCAAGACAAGTTTCAAATGTATTGGTGGGTCCGTCAGAGAGGAAGATACGAGGCCACCTCTATACATATCCATCTTAAATTTCTTTGCTTGCAGCAGTCTATAGTCCTTAGTCCTGCATAATAAACTAATGTTTATTCATCTTTTTTGTCCCTGCACACCAATGATAATGTATTAACTGCAAAGACTGGAACCAAATAGTAGAGGCAGCTTATCCTTTTGTACATACCATCAACTCGAAATATTTCACATTCCAAATACGGAGAGACACCTTTAAGATCAAGTTGTAGCTCTTTTATTACTTCAGCACTCAGATGAAGTTCATAATTTCTTGGATCCACAATGAGAGAAAAACCACCGGGTGAGAAAAATTTCAACTGTGTGACACTGACTTCTACTTGTGTATTCAAAACTAAAGCTGACATCCCAGTGCTGCTACCCTGTCTAAATGAAAACCAAACACAAGTGCTTGACTTTTCAGAACGTAAAAGGGGAAACTGTTCTAGCATGAAAACACCCACAATATTTTGCTTCAAGTGAATGACTGTCATTGTGGATCCCTGATTAGAGCATCTCTTAGTTATATCAAGAGTTATAAACTGATGAACACTAGACTTATAAAGAAGAGTTAAAGATGCTTTCCCAAGTAGTTGTTCCAGAAGCTTTTCCTGTATCCATGTCAGTCTGGTTGTCACTTCCATGTTCCTGCAGCTGATACAAAAATAATAAACGTTGAGTGACTAACACAACATAGCAGTTAGGTTACAAGTTTCTGTTTAGTTCCACTGACTTCTACTGTCCTCTAACCGAATTAAAACACATTAGGATTTTGAGCTAAAAATATACAGCATAGAGGTGGAGGAACAGCAATTATATATGAAAATAGACACTTTAGAAATGATAAATAGTATTAAAATTTAACACTGGACTGGGACACTCCTTTAAGTCCAGCACTCAGGAGACAAAGGCAAATACATCTCTGGGAGTATAAGGCCAACCTTGTCTACATACATAGTGAGTTCCAGTCTAACCAGCATTACATGGGAGACTTTGTCTCCAAATACAAAAATAAATGAAAGTCTAAGACTGGTAGACAGAGTAAATTCCAGACTAGAGAAAAATATAAACCAAAAAAACATAGAAATCAATAGCTATTTTACCTTAACCAAACAAATAGTAAATGATCTAAGTTTTGTGGTTCACATAGGCTCTACCTTGACTACCTGTCTCCCACCATTACCACAGCAGTTAAAGACAATGTGTGCTGTGGTTTAAGTGTGATTCACCCAAAGATTTATGCATTGGGAGTTTTGTCCTCAATGTGATATTGACTGACAGGACAACAAAGAGACAGGACCTAGTGATAAACAGATAGGTCAATCTAGAAACATGCACCCCTAAGAAACTAAGGTATTACTCATAGAACCCTGGTCATTTTCCATGAGGGAATTGCTATAAAACCCTAAGACTGTCTATGATTCTGATATCTTATGTGATATTATATATATATATATATATACTAATTCTTATCTAAATAAATGAATATGACTGCATGTCAACAAAACACCCTTTACCTCATGTGGACTACAACTTGTCAACCCATGAACTAAAGGAGGAAAATAAAAATATGTTCAAAACACAGTCCACAAGGAAATAACAGAAATAGGTAAGGTGTCAACATATACGTAAATTTCTCAGTGACAGCTAATCCCACAGCCATTACACTAGTTACTAGAATGAAAAAAAAAAAGGTATAAAAATCATTAGACAATCAACTAGTCTAATTAATAGGAGTCTGGTAAATAATTACAATATTGGCTAAGATTCAGAATAGTTAGCACAGAAGAGCAAACTTGATGTTTAGAATTACACTTCCCTGAGTACAAGTTGTACAAGTCAAACTTCAAAGAGGTACCTTGGAGGATGAGAAACGGTCAGTGAGAAAAGTGTCTGCCTTGTAAGTACAAGGGCCAGAGTTCAAATCTGCAAAACTCATGTAAAGCCGGGCACAATAGTGCTCATATGTAAGACCAGCATTCCTATGGCTAAAAGGAATCCAAAAGTAGGTCAATCCCCTGAAGTCTATGAGCGAGGTAGAAGTGTGCAAGCCAGGTAGAAGCATGTAGACCAGGTAGGAGCATGTGGACCAGGTAGGAGCATGAGGACCATGAGAAGCATGTGGACCAGGTAGGAGCATGTAGATCAGGTAGGAGCATGTGGACCATGAGAAGCATGTAGATCAGGTAGGAGCATGTGGACCATGAGAAGCATGTGGACCAGGTAGGAGCATGTGGACCATGAGAAGCATGTGGACCAGGTAGGAGCATGTGGACCATGAGAAGCATGTAGATCAGGTAGGAGCATGTGGACCATGAGAAGCATGTGGACCAGGTAGGAGCATGTGGACCAGGTAGCTCGCTATATGCAGCAGTGCACAGGAAACCTTTCTTCAAACAAAATGGAAGAGAAGTACAGGCACAACATGTTTTTCTCTGAATTCCACAAATGCTGTGGTATATGTGCACCTATAAACACACACACACACACACACACACACACACACACACACACACACGGCAGCCACCTGAAATGCTGAAAATTTAAGTACAGCTCCAGCTAGACTAACAGAACTAAAACAGAATTCTTATTTTGAAGTAAATGACAAAAGGAGCTCTAAGCAAGCTTCGTCCATGGGTTGGAATTCTGAAAAGATCTGAAAGAGAAATTACAGACTGGAGGTACGCAGAATTTCTTTTCTCTTCCAATAGATGCAGTCTTGCTCCACTCAGATAAGCAGTATTTCTGGTGTGGATCATTGCATGGCAAATTAATTACTGGATATCTGAAATAAAACACTAAAGATACAAGCTATAAAGAAAAGATAAAACTGACTTTGAAAACAAATGATTGCCTATAACAAGACACACGAAAAAAAAAAAAAACTTGTGAATTAGAATGCAGGTTCTATAAAGCTATCCTACAGAGGAATAAGGAAACAATGAATCACACAGAAAAAAAATAGCCCAAGAATGTGAAGAGCAAAATCAAAAATGTTATGACCCAAAAGAGTAATGAACACAGAAAAAGAGATAAATATTGTACAATGTGACAACTCCATGCTGAATACATTTCACATCAGAATAAATATCCAGCAGTGCCGACAGCTGGTGTGAGGGGCTGGAGAGATGGGTCAATGATTAAAAGACCTTGCTGCTTCTCTGGAGGACCAGGGCTGAGTTTTCAGCATGCCCAGAACCTCCTGACACTCCCATTTCAAGGGGTCTGAGGCTCTCTTCTGGCTGCTACGGGCACTGCATGTGTGGATACACACATGAACACTCAGGCATACACACACACCCACAAGGAAAATAAATATTTTAAATAAAGTTGTTGACACTGTCTTGATGGCCACATAGAGTTCAGCAGAAAGTACATGCAGACCTGCGCTGTTTATGAAGATGTGTCAACAGCAGTTGAGGTAAAGGGGTGAACGCTATATTTATAAATATGGATAAAGGTCAAATAATTTCCTTTTACTTTAAAAAACAAACTAAGCACGAGAAATTAGGTCTGGGGTCACCGATCTAAAATGTTAGCACGAAGCTATACCAAAGACTGCACTCAAACATTATACACACAGAAGATGCACAGAAGCATGTATGGCAATGACCTACACAGATGTCCAGGTTATGTTTCCCTCTGGGGAAGAAGTAAAGGAGGGGGCAAAGGAGAGAGACACAGGTTGCTTCTACTTTTCATGCAATATTTTTCTCTCAAAGCAAATCTGATTAAGTAAAGCAAATCATCTTTGACATATGATAGAAATATTAGGAGATGGTTCTAGAGTTCGCTCTCTCTGAACTTGGTTAGCAATGTGTGAAATTTTCATTAAAGTATACCCAGAAATAAATGAGAAGAATGTGGTCGCCCTGCCGGTTTCACCCTGGAAATCAAAGAGAACTGAGCAGGTGGGCAGGAGGCGCTTACCTACTGCTGAGACCCAAAGCAGACTGAAACAGAGGGCAAGTTAAGTAGAGACCCTTTTTTTTCTGAGTTGTGCAGCAGTCGGAAAACAGAAACTTCTTTGGCTAGTGTAGGTTTCAGAGGCACAGGAAAAGAAACGAAACTGAAACTCAAAGCAGGAAAAGGCTTGGTTGACTGCATGCCAATTTCCCTTAGCTTTTGTTTTCCCCAACAGGAGAAAAGAATATAAGGAAAAGAAAGTCAAGCAGAATAAAAATAAAATTATCCTAAGCCTGACTATATGCAGACATGCTTGAAATAGAGATGACTCAAGAAAACTTACAGTAATAAATAAATAAAAATTCCTTCCTGTAAGATTGCCCATGTTCTTAGCACTATATTGCCAATGTTTTCTCAATTTTTCCTAGAGCAGCCCCATACCTGCTAGTAGCTCTGCTGGATGGGATAACTGGTGCAATTCAAAACCGAGACTCTCTTCATTGGAACAAACACACAGTGGTTCCACATTTCCTGACTTTAGGCTGCACCTCTGAGCTTATTTTCCTGTTTACACTCATTTGCACAGCAGCGCTAACCCTGGGAAAGAGAAACTGAACCAGATAAAAGTGTGGCGTTAAGAAAGATGAGGTGTGTTCAGGGAGACAGTCAGCTAGGCAGGCAGCTACACATGTGACTGCTGCTAAGAACTACAAAAGGAAGAAGAATAAGAGACAGCAGCCTCATCCAATACGGGCTGTTTGTGAAGGGTCTTCCTGCAAACCAGATTTTAAACCAAAGCATGAGGTGAAGGAGACACAGAATGAAATGAGAGACAAACCATCATTTGGGCCTCCCAAGCCAATGTTTAAGTCCCTTTAGAATAGAATGTGGTGAGAAGGATGTGCCCATATAGAACAGTAGCTGTCCTTACCCCACGTGACCCAGTTTCATAAAGCAACAATGCTAATGCAAAATGACTCCTGTCCCTGCAAGTTAAAACCTTGTCCAGCCCTGATAGGAGGGTTCATGCCGACGCTTATTACATCTTCTTACGCCATGTTTGGTTGATATCCCTGGGAGGTCTGTTCTCTCGAGGGAAATGGAGGAGGAGTCCATCTGGGGAGTATGGAGGTGGTGGGGGAGAACTGGGAGGAGGAAGGAGGGGAAAACGTGGTTAGGATGTAATGTATAAGAGAAGATTTGTTTTTAAGTCACTATCTACCCAGAACAAACTAGGAGATGCAGACTGATTGTCTTAGGGTTTTTAGGTTTCCTGTTGTTGTGACAAAACACCATGACCAAAAGCAACATGGTGAGGAAAGGGTTTATTTATCTAACATTTCCACATAATAATAGCCCATCACAGAAGGAAGTGAGGACAGGACCTCAAACAGGACAGGAACCTGGAGGAAGGAGCTGATTTAGTGGCCAAGGAGAGGTGCTGCTTACTGGCTTGCTCCTCATGGCTTGTTCAACCTGCTTTCTTATAGAACTCAGACTACCAGCCTAGGGCTGGCACCACCCACCATGTTCTGGGCCCTCCACATCAAACACTAATTAAGAAAATGTCTACAGTTGGATCTTATGAAGGCATTGTCTCAATGAAGTTTCTCTCCTTTCAAACATCTCTAGCTTGTGTCAAATTGGCATAAAATGAGCCAGGACACTGATGAATAACTGACGGATGCAAATAAGAACTTAAGCTGTTATGAACATGAACACATGAAGATATTAAAAAAAGAATCAGAGAAAGCAGGTCTTTGAACTTGGCAAACACAACAGACAACCCATGATGCAACTCTCCATCTGCATTGTAAGAAAGGACTGTCAAACAACACTACAATTTGAAGGTACCTGACTGGCCTCAGACCATTTCTCAAAGTGCATCACGGAACTAACAAACAACCACTGAGCTCAGTGTGACCTGTCGACAAGATTAGACCCACGTGAAACTACAGTTCCTCTGACCCAATTGCACCTTGAATCGGTTCTCCTCTTTGCCCCAGCTCTGCTTTAGCTGCTCATTGCCCTGACTCTTCAGCGACATCATTCCTTATATAAATATCTTATTCAAGCACCTGCGGTGACTCTGCATCTGTATTGGCTCCCTAGAGGGACTTTTGAGACCTTTTCTCTTTAACCCTTCCTTTGCCACCCTATGTTCTGTATATTGTTGTGTGTGGTATGGTGTAATATCTGGGAGTTCCTATTAGTAATTAAGATTGGAATCTAATAGAAGAATCTCTGATAGAGAAAATCAAAATCAGGAGTACTCGATGAATTAAGGTCAATGAAATTTGTGTAACCTTTTAGTTTGTTGTCATTCACAAAAGTTCTAGCATTACAGTGAGACACAAGTGCACCATGATGAAATGATTCACTGACAAACAGAATGAGAGCATCCTGTCCACAGCACTGAGACTAGGGAGGTCTCAAAACTCTCCAAGCTGAATTTGTCATGAAGACAGTTGGAAGCTACAACTGTATCAGGAGATGGCTTAGAAAAAAAAACTTACATTAATTTTCTCTTGCTTTGTAAAATTACCACAAATTTAGAGCCTTTAAAATACCTCAGACTTACTATGCAGTGTCTGTGGGTCAAGAAACCAGGTGGCTCAGTTCTACTTTCTGTTCAGGATCCTTTAACTCTGTTTTATTTTCCTAGTCAAGGTCTTATTCTGAATAACAGAGCAATCTTGTCTTGATCTCATAGCCACCTTTCTGTGTCAGTCTCTGTAGAAAAGAAGGTCTAACTATGAGATAGATCAGAGCTTTTCCTAAGGTAGGGTCAATCACCACACTTGGCTCCCAAGGTCTCCTCTTCAAGGTCTTCTTCCAAAACTCTGGATCAATCTGGTTCCCAGCTCATTCAGTTTACGGAAAGAACGCTGTTCCTTGTGTGTGTAAGATTGTTTCCTCTGTTTTCTTATTACTGACCAACCCTAAGACATGGTAATCCCAGTGCCTTGGAATTGACCTCCACAGTCATCCAATGCTCATCCTAGGTGACAACACCAGACATTCCCAAGGCCAGGTGCAGAATCTCCCTGGACCCATCAAGTTTCCTTTCTCTCCTAGTGCAGCGCACAACGCCTGTCTGCACTCTATGCGCTACCATACAGTTTGCGAGCTTCGGGCAAGGGGCTGGAGATTAAAACACACAAACACATACAGACAGAGAGGCAGAGACATGGACCTCTAGTCACTGGTAAGAAGCCCTTATTCAATAGCACCATGGAGGATTATATACCCAACAGTCAGGTGGCCCAACAGGTGAAAACCTTATCCTCTGATCTTCAAGGCCAAGGCAACACGTGCTCATGAAGCAGAGCTGGCAAACAACTTTGACACAGCTTTCAGTAACTCAAATCAGAAGGAAAGTAAAGATCTCTATCAGAGAAGAGCAGCTGGAGGCCAGGACTCTAAATGGTCCCAACACTTAGAAAAACTAACTTTCCAAAGGGCTTACCTAATTAGATCATGGGGAAATAATTTATCATCCTTAAAATAAGAAATATTAGCCATAGGATTAGTATCTTATTGTATTTATATATCACACTCCATAGAGTGAAGCATGATTAATAAAAACCCAGAGACAGAAATTGGGGTTCAACTTGAAGGTCAGAGAAGCAAAGCAGCCAGTCACTGGCTCTTACCTCTACCTCAGTTCAAAATTGTGAGCCTGCCTCCAGGAATCTCAGAATGAGACTGAGACTGAGATCTGTCTCCTCCCGTCTTATCATCCTTTCTAGTTCTGGGATTAAAGGCATGCACCACAAACATCAGATTTCTATGCAAGCTAATGTGGCTACTGGGGTTAAAGGTGTGTGCCATTGTGGCTACTGGGGTTAAAGGTGTGTGCCTTGGCTGCCTGGTCTGTAAGTTGAGCCAGTGTGACTCTTTCACTTTTCTGGTATTGAGGCAAGTTTGATTTATTAAAATGAAAATGAAATATCACTACAAAGGAGGGTGCCTGGGTCACAGGTGGGGAATGAAGGAACATCATAGAGTTTATCAGCTACATAGGCCAAGTAAGAGAGGCAAAGCAATCTACTTAAGCCTCTCTTATTTCTATATTCACTTAGTCATCTACCCATTCACCTATTTTTTGTTCATTACAAAAATTTTGCTGAATATCCATAAATCATTGCTAGATTCTGAGACATAAATATGAATAGGTTCTCCCCTCATGAAAACATCCTGGGTATATTAACACCCAAGAATAAGGGATTTAAGGTAGTAAGAAATGGTTCTTATGATTCGATTTAAATATTTTCATGTATTGGGGAAATATAAAAAGAGAATATTCTCATATCTTGAGTCCTAGATTGATCCCTGTTAGGATTTATACATCAAAATTTCCCTCTAAAGGTTTGATTATTGAAGGCTTAGCCCTAATAACTCTGATAACCTGATAGCAGTGTTCAGAGTGGGGGCTTCGAATGTCATAAGATTATAATTAACTTCCTTAGTAAGTGAACCCGCCAATAAGTCCATTACTGGACAGACTGTTAGAAGGTGGTGCCTAATTGGAGGAAGTAGGTCACTGGGAAGGGGACTGGAAGAACTTATCTTGCCCAGCTCTCCTCAGCCAGCACAATATGAGCAGGTCTGTTCCGTGATGTCCTCCTCAAGGTGTTCAGCCGCTCCACGGGCTCACAGATTACTAACGACAAAATCTATGATCCAAAATAAGCCTTTCTTCCTTTAAGTTGCTATTTAAATACACTGAAACTCATGGTGGTTTGAATTAGAATGGCTCCTATCGGCTCATATAATTGAATGCTGAGTCACCAGCGAGGGTAATTGTTTGAGAAGGAGTCGGGCGTTGGGAGGTGCAGCGGCACTGGAGGAAGAGTATCTCTGGAAATGGTTCACGCCAGGCCCAGTGTCACTCCATCTGCCTGCTGCCTGGAGAGCAAGATGTAAAGATCTCAGGCACTGCTCCAGCACCATACTTGCTTGCCCGCCTGCTCCCGTTCTGCCCATCATGATGGTCTTGGACTCACCCTCTGAAAGTGCGAGCAAACCCCAACTAAACGTTTTCTTTTATAAGTTGCCTTGGTCATGGTGTCTCTATCTTGGTTATGCTCAATGTTGTCTGCAAGTATAGAATGGCTGTGGTAGTTTGAATGTGATTGGCCCCATAAACTCAGAACAAGTGACACTATTGGTAAGAGTGGCTTTGTGGAGTGGGTAACCCTTGTTGGAGGAAATGTGTCACTGTGGGGATGGACTTTGAGGTGTCCTATTACCCAGGATACCACCCAGATAGTCTGACTTCCTGCTGCCTTCTGGTCCAGCTATAACTGGACATCTGGCTGCATTCAACCATGCTCACCATCATGATGATAATAGACTAACCGCTGAAACTCTAAGCAAGCAACCTCAATTAAATGCTTTCTCTATAAGAGGTGCCGTGGTCATGGTGTCTCTTCACATAAATAAAACCCTAACTAAGACAATGGCCATTACTGGAGTAACTTGATAAACAAAATGAATACTGTTAGGGACTGAAGAGATTGCCCAGTGGTTAGGGCTGAAGAGATGGCTCAGTGGTTAGGGACTGAAGAGATGGCTCAGTGGTTAGGGCTGAAGA